TCATTTTAGTATGATACTTTATTCAGGTATTCACCTACATATTTTTGTGGTGATAACTGATTTGCTAATAGTCTAGTTTGTAAAGTCACTATGATCTATAATAATTCATAGGCTGGCAGTGAATCAATTGTAAGAGGTTACCTATCTCATCACCAGTTAATAACTAACACACTTCTGATTAGTGACAGCTACCGTGTTCGTCTAGTCCTTGGTTTTCGGATTCTACCAATCAAACTGTAATATGAATAAATATTCCAGTCATACAGGAGGTCAGTTAATGTCTGAATAGATCAGTGGTAATGTATCAAACTACATAACTGAGTGATGCATATTCGAATATCATATACAAAAAGTTTCTTCAATATTACCGGTGTTTTTCTGACAAGTGTCAACTGGCACGAAACCTAGATCTAGGATTTCCTAAGACAACATCCAACCACTTAATGTCAGTTAATATTTTGTGATTACTTAAAGGTACACCGAAAACTGTTTTCTCCGTAAACTTCTGTCGACTGGAGAACCATTAAAATCTTGTAGTATTGGACAGTTGTTTTGTTTTAATCTGGCATTATTGACCAATGTGCACTCATGAAATATAAAGAAATTGTGGGATTCAAGACCGATCATAATTCTTTCCTGAACATAAATGTGGGAAAACAAAAACCATTAAGAATATTTCTCATACAAGTTCATGAGTCAGATGAATAAAACCGAAATTTCAGAATAAAAATTGCTAATTGAACTAATGCAACAATTTACACCGTCGCAGACAAAAACATCACGAAATGAAAAATAAGAATCTTTAGCTGTTTGACGATCTTAATTTTTATCCAGCAATAGTAATTTACCGTCTTTTAATTAACTCACCTAACAAAAATGTTACATTTAACATCTTAATACATTTATTCAGTTGATCATTTGTTCTATCCTTTGAAATGTTTAAATGAGATTCGAAGACGAGTTCTGTCAGTAGTTTGTTACTTTAATTATCCTAATCATTTTATTTATTTACTGATCAATTGGACTGTCATAACATTATCATAATTTAACATCTAGAAACCTTTTGAAGTAATTCACAAAAATTTATCTATTCTAAGTTCAGGAAATCAGTCGTATATATCAGTTCCTTTCATAACACTACCATTACATGATTTCTTTTAGATTACAATCACTAACTTTCAATTTTAAGTTATCAGTATAAAACTATTTTATTCTACACTCTTTCTGAAGATTGCTCAATCTTAAGCTATACAAAAAGAAAGATAAGTCTATTTATTAAAATCTCTATGAAAGTGAAGTGAAACTTTTTTATATCTACCAAAGAATCAATATAAGAAACATTACAAACCAAAAAAAAGATGTAAGTTAGATTATCATAACAACTTACTACCCTTCAGAATTAATTACTTTCTAAAGAAATAAATAATTAATAAAAGTATAGAATAATTTCTTTATTAGGCTAAAAGTATTATTCTTTAAGGAGTCCCGTAATAGGACGAAACAGTCGTGCAATGCTTCTAGTTTTTTCATGGTGGTCTAGCTTCAATTGACTCATGATTTCAACTGTTGAAATGAAATGAAATTATTCCCTTTTTTAGATTAAAAATAGAATTTTCAAAATCATGTTTTGTGGTCGGTTATCAAATGTTTGTTTGTTTGTTGTTGTTGTTGTTGTCAGGAACAATCAAAAATGGTTATTTTTCATTGTTATAGTATTCAAATAGAAATGAATTACATATCACAGATTTTATTATTGAACTAAATAATAATTAGATTTTACTATTCAATAAGAATTTAAGGTAGATCTTTCATGTTATTTAAATGTAACATAAAAGTAAATAGAGATTGTTAAATGAATCAAGAAAATACTTTTATAAACAAGAAAATCCATTAAATGCTACATTTAAATTAACCTCTTAAAATACAGAAAGATTTTATAATTGAATTGTTGAACATAATTATTGAGATTTTTACTGAGGATTGACACTACAGTAATCATCATCTGAATTCTCCAAATATTATACATAAAAATAATAGATTACCATCATTTAATAGATTTCAATTTAAGGATTAAAATGACGGTTAAAGTCTTGTGACTTAATTTGGACATCGACACTGATGCACAACAATATCCGGTCGATGATTACTGACTAAGATGGATTGCTCACTCTAAATTTCACTAACATCTACTATGTAAATTATAATCAACTTGTAATTTGTGAGAATTTCAATACATCAGTAGAAGGAAGTTATACACTTGCAGAGATTGATCAAATACAAACATGATTATGTACAATGGGAAAATACAAGTCCCAGAGTTTATAACCGAAAGTTATGTAAATTGAATAACTTTTTTTATTCGTTTTTAAAATTTGTCAATAATATGTATTAAATTCTAATCCCTAGAGAATGCAACTATGAAAAAATTGACTTTTAAAGCTTTAGAGTAGAGTAGTATACACTTTAAACCTTAGCTTATGGTATATTGTAATTTTATGTTGACTATGATACAAGTTTCCATAATACCCAGCTAAAATTATTACTTACATATAATCATTTCAGTTCTTTTTAGGATTCAGTGAACATATTTAAACTAGTTGAACGTTTTCTTATATCTACGGAGTAAGAATTGGTCAGTTTAAATAGACGAACAGATGTTGTAAATAAATTTCTCTCAAATGCCCTGATACGGCTGAGGGTGTGGAGAGTCCGCTCTCCCTCTAGAAATGCTCTCACATAGCTACGCATATATAGCCTCTGCCAGGGCAGTCCTACACACTGCTTCCTCGTGGCGGCTGTGTTGTTTACGAAATTGAGAGGACGAAAAGCAAATGTCCGGAGCTTTAATCGGGTCGGTGGATATAGTGCATCCCCTTAGGAGTGTTGGAAAACCCTAATTCCAAATCAATGGTGCACATGAGCTCCATTATCCCGAGGGACAAAGTGGCGTATAAAACAATTGTTAGTTACCGACTATCATGGAACTGCATCTCCTTACGATGCTCCACGGCCTTTTCGATCAGACCTTTAGATCGAAAGTTACGGGTGTGGCACCCTAAGGAAACCACTTACTTTGGTCTGGGTATCATATGTAATTAATAAATACTGTAATATGTACAATATCGGCATTTTAGCGTTAAAATCTTTTGTGTATGCTATAACAGTTATACTCGGTAAGTGTATTTGGAAAAGAATCTAGCGAATTTCAGTTTTTATTTTTAAATATACAATGAAATCACTTTGGTATATATTCATATAAACCATTCAACACATTGCTTAACATTGAGAATAACCTCTTTACAGGCAATAATCGACAGTACTGTTTGTCGACACTAAATACAGTAACACACAGATCCATGCACAAAAATAATAAAAAGACCGAAAATGTTGGGATAAACTTATTAAAAGCGACATGACTACCAGATTTTCTCAACTATATATATATATATAAACACAATATGAAGCAAGTTAATGATAATTATTTTTGTGGTGCTTGAATATATTTGAAATGTGAAGTACTGTGCCAGAAAAATGACATTTTCAATCCATTGAAAAATGTACAAGTGCTTGAACAAAATAAGTGGAAACAAGTAAAAGCCTAAAACAGAAGAAAATGATTTAAGTGTTAAAACAGAATAATTTTGAACTAGTGTATCTCGATTTCCATTGGTAACTAAACGAGTAACTTTATATGACTGAATAATGTTTCAATGGTTCAGAAGTAGGTTCTATTAGAATGGTTTATTATCTTTTGAAGTCAGTAATAATGATATTTATGTTTTATTTGTAAAGTATGTGACATGAGGATCATTTAGTCGGACACAACTGTACATGATTTGTTATTTATCTCTATATAAATATCAAAAGTCATACAAAATTGAGTACAATGAAAGTAGGTCACACAAGTACTTTTAAATTTTCAAAAAAATATTAATATTTAATATTTTATCAGAATAAGGTTTTGTGGAGATTATGGTAATTTAATAGTTGAATTCATGAGTCAATTGAAGCTAAACCACTAGGGAAAACCTGGAAGCATTGAAGGGCCATTTAGTCCTCGTATGGGACTCTTCAGCAGTGAGCATCCACTATCTGTCTTTGTTATGTTATTATGGTAATTAATTTATGCAACTTGAAAAATTCTTAAATGAAAGTAAATACAAGTTATTTGTATTCATTGGTAAGACCTAGATATTTTAAAATTAACTAAAGATTAACTAACACTTCAAATTACTGTTTAACATTCAAATAACGAGTATGTTCATGTATGTGATTAGACAAAAATTAATTGTTGTTTGCATAAAAACTCCATACTTTCCATAGAAACACCAAGGAAATTTACTTATCATTTTCCAGAAGATATTAACCAAAGTTTGCATATTAACATTTATTATATTTATTTCACTTTAAATAACTAAGCAATATTAAGAGTAGTACCATTTAGTCTAATGTTTTCAATATTACACAACAACTCGATCATAATGTTGAAGCATGCTGTCATAAGAGACAGAAAGAGTGAAACGATTTTATTCTAGATCATCGGATGTTTAATGATTAATCGATTACACCATTAACTCATAATAGTGATAATCAAGTAAAGCACAATCAACTATGAATTATTCTAGTTGATTGCAAAATAGAAGCACACATAAGCATGAAACAGATTAATTGAGATGAACAACAAATAAAGCATCATTCATTTATATAAAACAGATCATTATAGGTGTCATTGATAAGGTTGAACTTTATAGTTTGAAATAAATGGAGTACTGGGTAGATTGTTAATAACAATTGAATCCCGTGGGGTGCGGGATCGTGGATGCGCACTGCTGAGGAGTCCCATACCAGGACGAAACGGCCTTACAGTGCTTCCAGGTTTTCCATGATGGTCTAGCTTCAATTGACTCATGATTTCAAATACTGAAATTACTAAAATCTCCACAAAACCGTTTCTGAAAATAACAAATATGCAAAGCAATTTCTATCCCACTACTTCATATTACAAATGTATACATTTTTCATACCCATCTTCAGACGCAAAAATCAATACAATGACATGTCACACAAATTTATCTTGACCAAAAATAACTTGACATTGATATATTTAGACCTATTGTGGTTTTGATTGTACTAAAAATATTTTGCATTGTTTCCTTTGTGTTATTTAAATTTGTGATAATTTAATATCGGTTATTTGTTTACTTTGAAGAAGTGGCTTAGATTAAGTCACAAAATGTCAGATATACAATTTTCTACTCATTAGACTATCACAAAAAGTATGTTTATTTTATCCAAATTATCCACTGGCTTTATAGTTAACTTCCTCTCTTATTTATTTGATTTGCTTCATCTAAATATAGTAAAAATAAGCATTGGTTGATTATTAATTCTTGTATGACTTCCCAGTTCTATAAAAGCCTAAATTGAATAGAATTTAATTGACTATTGACATTGAAAACAGAATAAAATTAACAGTGATTTATACTTGTTTCTCTGATGCGATCGATGGACTATTATTTTGATCACTAGGATATTCACAGTCATATTGTTCATCAGTTTCTTCATGTAGATGCTGATCAATAACTTCATCATGTATATTACATCCAAGATATTTTCTATAGTTATATTTTAAATGTTTTTCTGGTTTATTATTTTTCTCAATAATTTCATTTGAATCCTTTTGTTCCATTATCTTATTTTTATTATACCAAATACACCAAGCTTTATTTGGTAGTCCTGAATAATGTGAATAACTGCCTCCTTGTAAAGATTCGATAACTGCTTGTTGAAAACTAGATCCAGATGGAATAATAAAGTGCTCATTAATTGGATCTTGTTCATTAGGTTCATAGAATAGAAACAGTAAACCATTAATGATAGCTTTAAGGCCCATTCCACTGATTTAACCGTGAAAAGAGAGAAGATAAAATAAAAGACAAAAGAATCACAATAAAAGTTTTATATCATTCATAATTACTAATAATACCAGTACTGTTAACTTGAAATGTAAAACAAAGATTTTTCGCTTTTTGTTCAAAATATTGCTGTTTTTATCATGTATTATTCTATATTGTAATTGATTTAAATGTTTATATATGCGGAAAGGCTGGGATAATACAAAAAATACTCAAACTACATTGATTGATTGGTAATCTTTAGTTGAGTTTCTATGCATGTTTGCATTAGCCAAAATGGTATATCTGCATTCATATTATCCTTGACGTCCAGCCATTGTTAACTAATGTCATAGCCTGAAACATAGTTTCCACGTTAACCTGACTACAACTGTCCTATTATAGAAATAAAGTGTTTAGATACTTATTGTCGAAACTGTAATTAGTGCTATTTTATTTATTCCTTAGTCTTGATAAGACTCTACTAATGTCAGTACACTATTGTCATATGTTTAAGGGGTCCAAAGTCGAAGTGTAATTTATTTGACGTTAAGCAGTTGAAGCCAGTCACACCATGACATTGGAAGGAAAGAATTTTTGCATCAAAAACAGGTTGAGACCCATTTGAATGAAAATGATTCGACGAGAATAAAAAGACACTATAGTGTTTTTCCCAAAACCTGTGTCACAGACGAAAACTGACAGAAGAGTTGGTTCAATCTGGATGAAAATGTGCCCAAAGTGAGGGAAATTAATTCATTGGACTTTTTTTGGAACATTCAATTATAAGATATTGATTTTCATCTAATGAAACTACACGAATAAAATAATTCTGGAAAGGATTGTTCCATAATATTTAAAATGTGGCCTCATAATTATGAAGTTGCGCCACAAAAGAAATAAATAGTTTATATAAATACAAACATGTGTTTACCAACACCTAGTAGTTAATCTGTGTACAAACAAATCTGTTTAGAACAACCGTAGTAGTCAGTATTCGAAACTTACATATTCCAGTTTTGAAGTAAATTAAGGCAAACAGCTCCACCAATATCATAATCTTCAATATTTGGATGATATATATGACTCATGCAACGAACAACTGGAGTTTCTCCATAATGTTCCAAACGAATTATGATCTTTCAAAAAAAATAATTAATTAAAGTACACGGAAACAGAAACCATTAAAAAATCCAAGTTATTATTTTGAAACATACGTATTACTTAACTTTGCCAAACATTTCACTTATAAATTACGCTAATATATGGAGCGAATAGATGACATATGATGTCGCAAAGTGGCATAGCAAGTCAGATTTAGGCTTAGGTTATCTATAGTGAGAAAGTGAATCATTCATATATCCAAAGGTTACAACTTACAGATTCATGCCAAATTTTATTTATTAACTTCTAAATTTACATGAGTTTTACGCTCATTTGGTAGTATGATTTCCTAGGGAAGCTAAATTTTACCTTGTCTAACGGAGTTGTCAATCTCTAAATGTGTCATGTAGCAGAACTAGACCCCAGTTCGTAAATCATTCTGAAATAAAGGTGGAATCTAATATGAACTTTTAATATATTGTTTAAAATCGTTCTAATGCATTGCTTTTTAACAGTGTCAACATTGTTTTTACTGAAAGAATGTTCGTTACAAGGTAAATATATCATCAAGTTGTTGAAACTAAACGCTGGATAATTAATATTTTACCTTGATCTTAACCGATTAATTTCCTTCTGATAAGTTCAGGTTCTGACATACAATCATTAAGTAAAAACTTAACATTCTAATTTCATGATTCCAATATGTCTAGTAATCAGATATGAATCCTAAAAAATAAACGGATACCTTCAAGCGTAACGTGGATTTTACCAGTAATCCTTTAAAGCTTACGAAACTAAAAATATGATTTGTTAAACTAAGCATATAAATAGATTGATAATAAGAAGTGGTTACACTGAACTGATTCATTAGTTAAACTTTAAAAAAAAACTATATCAGTTTTCACAGTTGAAGCTAGACCACCATTGAAAACCTGGAAGCACTGGACGGCCGTTTCGTCCTGGTATGGGACTCCTCAGTTTTATTATAATACAAAGCAATAAATATCCTAGCAAATAAAATTCAAATTTCGTTCGAGTCTAATCTATCACTTCCACAATGTAATTCCCATTAAATAATCTGTGAGAATAATGCATTTGAAAATTTGTGTACAGTATACTTCAGGAATAGGATTCAATCAATCAAATTATTTGGCATTTCTTAACTGAAAAGTATTACGTTATTTGAACTAGTTAAATGACATTCACATCTTGGAGAAAGATGTACTTTATGTCAATCCTACTGTATCACATGTTTAATTAAGGTTTAAAGTAGTATATTTAAAATTCATTTGAATATCAATTATATTTTTATTAAAACAAGGATAATAGAACTTCAGACACTAACAAAATTATTCATTATATCATAATACATTTATCTGAAGATTCATGTATTATTTAAATAACTATCGTTTTGTTAAAAATTATTCTTCTCATTAGTAACAAGTCTGAAAATTAAAAAGAAAACAAAAGTCATTTGTTTATGATTCCTCAAACGGTAACGACAATTTATGATTTAATAGGTTGATTGAATGCAAATATCATACCATCTGAATGTAATTTTTATATGTGAATAGTAGTTGTAGAATCATTTAATGCTAAGATTAACTAAATTCACTTAATTATAATTTGAAACTCGTTGAGAATACTTTTTATGAATATCACAAGAGATTAGGTCAAATAGGATCTGATCTTACAGTATAAACTAACTTGTAAGATAATTAGTTTAGAATTTTATGATTCTTATTTTTGATTTCAGTCAAATTATCCTATGACGAAATTCTCATTGAATTCAAACACAAGATTTTCTCAGATGTGTTTTGTGGAGATTGTAGTAATTTCAATAGTTTAAGTCATGAGTCAATTGAAGCTAGAATACCATGGAAAACCTGGAAGCACTGGACGGCCGTTTCGACCTATTGTGGAACTCCTCAACAGTGCTCATCCACGACCTCGCCCCCTGCGAGATTCCAACCCAGGACCTACTGGTTTCGTGCATGAGCACTTAACCACTAGACCATTGAACTGGCATTCAACGGTGCTAATGCGTAATTTCGACTAATCCACGAAATTCAGCGATACATTCACCATTGTCTTCAGTGAGTTACTATTTCACAACAGACCTGGTTGAACTCCACTGGTCACTACTTCCAGGTTTTCCATGCTGGTCTAGCTTCAACTGACTCATGATTTTAAACACTGAAATTACAAGATTTTCTGTTGTATTTTCATTAATGTTAATTCCGCATGTCACTATCCTAATGATTAGTTCAGGAAGTTACAAATAAACTCATGGTTATAACTAATTATCACAATTGTATGAGGATAATTTATTATATATTCTTTGTATCTCTTAAACTGGAAACAATCAGCTATTAGAATTTTCTTAATTTTTTAATATTTCTTTAATTTATGTCAATCTGTGATGAAAATTACTTAAATACGTTTCTGCTCGTAAGTTAGTGGATTGGTATCATTTGAAGGATCTAAACTAAAATATATGAAATGCAATTACTATTTCGATCATTTGTGGTGTTCTTTTGACTGGTTACCTTGAACAGTTTTTTGTGAAATTTTTCAAGATGTACAGATTCACTTTATTCATCATTCTGTTGTGGGTCATAATTCGATTAAGGAAGGAGATTTAGAGATTGTCTAATAAATAATCAAAATCGTGATCGAATAATGCAATAATGCAATGATCATTAGGAACCAATATAAATTAGTTCGGCACTCAGTCCTATACATTAGAAGTTTAAGGAATAATGTGCTGTATTACGACACTTAAAATAAGTAAACTAGATGTCGATAGATTAATAAAATGCAATGATACACTGTGTTCGAGTGAAATCCGCCTACAAGGCTGAATAACTGATGCAAACAGTTGAATGGAGCAAAATCAATAACAAGATCGGCAATCAGGAGAATAGAATAATTTTTATGGTAAATTGACAAGCTTATATACGAAATATTAAACGAGTAAATAAACATTATTGAATCGTTAGCTAAAACATAACAAACTGGACGATTCGGATCAAATAAGTCATTCAAACAGCAATGAAATTAAGAGTAAAACATCAAGCTTAATTCTTACCCGATATATCAAACCTACATCATCATGGCAATGTAAGGTATAGGGTCGGATACAAAGTTGGAATAAATAACTGAATTTGTGTAAATAAAGACTGGTTAAGATTGTTTATTTAGTACTTGCAGCACTTGAATCATTGCATGTTTTATTAGCAAAGGAGGTTTGTGAAGATTTTCCATTTGAAGACAATTTATGTCAGTGACTTACCTCAAACAGACAATCAGTAGAAAGATCAACATACTGGACATGAATATATCTCAGCTATAAATACTAATAATGCAAATATTTTCGAGATTGATATTATCAACATTCAATAGACTTAAATCTTTTCAAACTTATCAAAACTCACAACTTCAATGAGTAATCAGTCAGTCACTTCAAATACAAATTATTCTTGTTAATATATATTTGAAAATACTTATTTAATGATTGACATTTTTGCATCTTGAATATGAAATATCATGAAATAATTACATGAATTACTACAAGTGACTATATATCTAAAGTACATTATGTTACAAAGATAATATGATGTGAAAGATACATTAATTTTTTGAAAACATTCATAATTTATTATTCAGCTTATTGTTTACATAAGTTTAATGATCCATTATGTGTGTATGAATGAAATTTATTTCAATGAACACATAAATACTGGTACAAAGAAGCACCAGATACATATGCGCCACACAAATCTCATTTGATATGTACGAGGGCTGTGATAATGCCCGGGTGCTGAAACCGAAGTATGTGGTTTCCTTAGGGAGTCAAACACGGAGCCTTCGACCTAAAGTTTTGATCCACAAGGCAGTGGAGCATCGTAACAAGGTGCAGTCTCATGGTAGCCGGTGACCAACATTAGGTTCATACGACAATTGTTCCCTCCGGGTACTGGAGCCCATGTACACCTTGATTTGGAATCAGGGTTTTCCAACTCCCCTAGATGGAGTCTTCATGAACACCAACCGGTTAAAGCTCCGGATATTCGCTTTTCGTCACCTCAGTTTCGTAAACAACACCGCCGTCACAAGAAGGCAGTGAGTAGGACTTCCCTGGCAGAGGCTATATACGCGTAGCTATGTGAGAGCATTTCGAGAGGGAGAGCGGACTCTCCCTACCCTCGGCCGTATCAGAGCATTTGGGGGATACCAACAAATTAATGAAACAAATGTTTTTATATGTATTGAAGTTATGGAACTTAATACGTTAGTTTTATAATGGTTTGAAAACGTTTTATGAAATTAACTGTTTTTGCGCGTGATTTTCAGATTAACAACGTAGTTATGGTAAATTATTTACCAACGTTTTCTTGTTTCTTAAGTTCATTAGTTAGCATTAATTTTTTTGCAAATTATTCAAAGTTATTGACTCAAAACTTATTACAAGCTATCAGCATAGAGAATAAACGTGTAATGATACGGTATTATATGTATATACATATAATTGTAATTGATATTCAAATATAAAATGAAGTCAATTGTTCTATCTTTCATATTTTCAATGAACGTATTATTCTTAGTTAGGAACTCTGAAATAAATTTTACTAAATGGTGAAGGAAATATAACTTGAATATAATAACTGACTTATATTTGTGGTGGATGATACTTATGAGAAACAATTTAATAATTGTATTGAAAGTCACTAAATTGACAATAAGCTAGTACAGTAAGATAAAATTTATTCAGCTAGTAACTAGATGATCTAATTATACACTGAAAGTTATAGCTGTTAATTATTAATTTTCAATTGAGGTCACTTGATTTACAGAACCTTTTTCAACTATGACATTAACTTGTTATTAATATATTTTAAAATACATATTCTTGAAGAAGGTTACATTAACCGTAAAGAGAGAGTTCTATCTAAACGCAACTTTGAGCATTATCGTGCATGGTTTTCGAAATTAGAATGTACGATAATAATCACTTCCTCAATGTTAAAATACCCTCACGATTCTGGTTACAGTGATTCATCGGATATATTCTTCAAAGTCATCTATGCGATCAAAAGACTTTATTCGAAGAAAGCATAAATCACTAACCTATGCACTGTAGAAGTGTCAGTGATTCATCGTTTTAAAATTCAATTCCGTGTGAAAAAACAATTTATACAAGCTGTCATTTTTCCGTCTTAGTTTTCCTTTCTCCGTAAAGTACTTTTAAAATACATCTTTCTATCTTTTATTTTGTTCATTTGTGGTCTTAGTTTAATCTTCTCCTTTTCCATATTCACAAAGTGAACAACTAGGTTTCATATATTTTTTCATCTTAACATTTTCCTACAATTTCTCAATCGTTGCATAACTCTCTAGTGATACTTTAAATTTTAAAACACTTTGTTACATAATCCCCTTTTTTATTTTAATCATTAAAGCATCATAAATACAAATGTACAGCTTGAGTAAATGGGATCATCAAAAAAGGAATAGATTTTATTTACTGAATTGTTATTAATTTCTTTTCAATAAAACAGTCAGTTACTTTGGTTATTTTTTTCCCTGAATAATTTATTTATTATGAATAGTATCTGTATCAAAGAATGAGTGAATAATTATTGTTCCTATAAACTATACTGATGAACATGGTGGGTCTGATGCAGAAGTGAAAGCGCGTATCGGTAAAGCACGATCAGCATATTTACAACTGAAGAACATCTGGAACTCAAAGTAACTGTCAACCTACACCAAGGTCAGAATTTACAATGCAAATGTCAAGACAGTCCTACTGTATGGGACAGAAACCTCGAGAACTACGAAAGCCATCATCCAGAAAATACAGGGGTTTATTAACTGTTGTCTACGCAAAGTACTTCAGATCCATTGGCCGGACACTATTAGCAACAACCAACTGTGGGAAAGAACAAACCAGATCCCAGCGGAGGAAGAAATCAGGAAGGAGCGCTGGAAGTGGATAGGACACACATTGAGGAAAGCACCCAACTGCGTCACAAGATAAGCCCTCACATGGAATCCTCAAGGTCAAAGGAAAAGAGGAAGACCAAAGAACACATCACGGCAGGAAATGAAGATAGACATGAGAAGAATGAACAAGAATTGGATGGAATTAGAAAAGAAGGCTCAGGACAGAGTGGGTTGGAGATTGCTGGTCGGCGGCCTATGCTCGATTGGGAGTAACATGCGTAAGTAAGTAAGTAAGTATAAACTATACACAGCCAACTATTGTAAAGAACATTTTAGTAGTATCATTCGAATATCTAATGCATCCTATTTATTATTTATTAGCATTTTCAATATTAAAATATATGTGATTATTTACTAATTATATTCTGCCTGTTATTATCTTTGTTTTATCCTGTACATTACCATTAATTTAATTTGGTTTCTATCTAAAACAATTTACCTACTCGAATAATAATAATAAATTTACACTGTTAAAAGTGATTATAGTTTATGGATATATGAAATTGTTGGGAAAGGATTTATGATAAATCGTAAAGGGAACGAATCAAGATTAATTATTGGTAAGGCAATTAAATAAATAGTTTGATATCGTTATTCTAATGAATCTAAAATCTAAGCTTATTCTTATATTCTCGATTGAATTTTACCAAACAGAAAAAAACAAACAAATCAAGTTAGAAATCAGTTAAGATGATATAATACAGGAACTAAATAATTTCATGTCAAAGAATAGAATCATCAAGATCAAGGAACAAAATACTCTGGTATTTGAATATCAATGTTTATTCAACGAACTAGGTCACTTGATTAGCAATAAATATATAATGAAAGAAATACAAAGACTATTTTAAAGGATAGCTTGTGTCATATATTGATCTCTTTAAAAATTTAATTATTCATGTAACTCAAAACTATGTATCAACTTAATCAAAATCATAGAGACTTAAAAATCAAGCCTAACAGATTTCATATCAAAATGTCCTTTTTTTCAATTTTTCAGGCAATTCGATATAATTTTCACAGATAAATATATTATTGATTGAGTTTTGCGTGAGAGATTAAGGATGAACACTGTTGAGGAATCTTATACTAGGACGAAAAGTCCGTCCAGTGCATTCAGGTTTCCAATGATGTAATAACATTGATCGGTTCATGATCTTAATAAAAAAAACTCAACTACCTAAACAACCTCACACCGATATATATTATTTACAGATGAAACTAATGTTACATGAATTCAAAGTGAACAAAATTATGGATTATAGAAATTCTATGCATTCTCAACAGTTTAAGAATTCACCTCATTACATATTTTTGTACTTAATAAACTTAATGATACTGAACATTGATGCACATATGTATATTTTATTCAGAGAAAATGTTTTTTGATATTATAGTAATTAATTAGTTGGATTCGTTAGTCGATTGAAGCTAAACCCTTACGGAAAACCTGGAAGCATTGGACAGCCGTTTTGTCCTATTGTGGGACTCCTCAGCAGTGCGTAACCGGACCCAAGACCTATCAGTCTCGAGTACGAGCGCTTAACCACTAAACCATGAAGCCTGCATCCAACGGTGCTAATGCCTATTTCCAACCAATCCACGAATTGAGCCACCGTCTACCGTTGAATCTCTCGGGACGGGATCATCGGTGCGCACTGCTGAGGAGTCCCATACTAGGACGGAACGGCCGTACAGTGCTTCTAGGTCTTCCATAGTGAACTAGTTTCATTTGACTCATGAATTCAACTAATAAATATGTATACTTGTCACAATTCTATTGTACAAATAAATTTACTCAATGTTTTATTGACTTTTAGCTCCATGGACGTATTCCAAATAAAACATTTATGCTAGTTATTAACTTGTGTTCCAAGATTTTTAAAAAGAAACAATCAACAAAAAATCATAAATCTAGTATTTTGCTTTATTTCACACTTATTAGTAAGACTTATTTGTAATCATAATAAAGTTGGTAATATTCAGCATAATATTCAAAGTATTTTAACCTAGTACCATACTGGAGGATATTATCACTGAATTCTATAGATCAATATGAAATAAATAGATAAAATAATTATAGTTATTAATGAGTGATATACTAGTAGGGATACTAAGACTATCCTATACATTGGAATCATTAAAATAATAAAGGGTCGATGTATTATGTGAAAAGATAACAGACTATGAAAAACTTAGCACACTTAGTATTAATAAAGAATTAATATCTAACAAATTAACAGTTTAAAATCATTTAATATTACTAACCTCAAATTCATATTCAGCATGAGCGTATAATCCTTCATTAGGAGAGATTTTCACGCGAAATTGTATTTCATCTGACTGATTTGAATCATTACTATTATTATCCCATGATAAAATTTTAGCTTGTCCATTAGTTTCAATCTCGATCATACAGATTAACTCTGATAATTGTCTCCATACTACTTTATACATTAGTATATGTATGTTTTAGCATCTATTCATTCATCTGAACTATTTGGATGTAGTATGCATATATATACATCATGAAATTGTTAAGACAACTTTAGATTACCCTATTAGATGGATCGATATTTGTAAATTAGAAATTTCTATGTTTTTAGTTGTTGTTATTGTGATTTATTCACACTTTGATTTACTCATTTGTATTCTTTGTTTTTGTTCTCATTTAAAAACAAACAAGAAATACAATTTGACACGGTACGTAAACTTTTTTTATTATTTTAGATTGATTATTCTTTTGTTATGAATATCTAAAAGTTTTTAAGTATTTTCTTACTTTGATTAGTTAAACTATTGAAGATGTTAATGTATTAATAGTCCGTTGTCGACACGTATAATTATAATCTTAAAGGATCAAAAATGAAAACAGTCCTTAAGAAATTCCTAGTTAACAAGTAGTTTAATATGGAGGAAACGTTTGGGGAATTATAGAAAGTAATGACATAATATGTCAATGATTTAACATGTAATCAAACTCAGGAAGCTATAGTTTTTCACTAATCAAAATACCATCCAATTACTGCGTTACAATCCAAAGGTTCATTGTTTTTTTTTTATTGTTTTTAAATTATACACAATTGCCCCCTCGCCAAAGAACCCATCTAAATCGGAAAATATTTATCATGACATGCTTCTAATTATTTTTTTCAACCATATTTCATTCCGAAAAAAATGAATGTCCTTATCAATCTGAATCCTGATAATCTCTCCAGTACAGCGAATGCCCTGAATCCAGAAATTCAGTCATAATGAAATAAGAGTGAAAGTGAGTAAATTATGAACTTGGGAATAAATTAGTAATTAACAAATTAAATTAAGAATACATTATTTAGTCTAAAGTGATTGATATCTTCTAAGTTTTTTTACAATATCTCCTTGTAAATGACTGAACCTTGTTCCGACAGCTTCGGATTAAGCAATGTTTTATGAATATGATATTAATCCTTATGAAACACAAACTACAGGACTTTAAATAAACTGATCACTTGATGATTTGTATTGATTGTTCTAATCATTTTTCATATAACACATATACTTTACTATAGAGCACAGAAGTATTACATAAATTGTCCTAAAGATAACGTCTATAACACACCCGAATGGAATTTTTTCCCTTAATCGTTCAAGGATCATTAACGCAGATATTCACAGCTTTCAAATTCATCTACATGGTTTGCTTGATAAATTTTGTAAAAGACAATGTCCAAACATATTCGTTTTACCTAATCGAAAGGAATAACATTGATACGTTACTCCATGAATATAAACATATCTACTTAAATATTGAAGATCTTATTTAAAAATGTACAACAGTAGTAAGTCGAATGAAAGTTAATAAGTAATTTGAGTTTGATAATAAAATTTACGGAAATTAGAAGTGATAGTATGTTTTCCCCCGTTTTTGTTGAACTAATTATAGCATAACACAATGTTATGTTCTCATGTTGATTTTTAAATAAAATTATTCTAAATGATGTTGACATTATTTGTAATCATCTGGAAACAGTCCTCTTCATGCACGCTAAAATTGAATTAACTGATAAAGTTGAAACGGTTGAATGACTTTCATCGCTAGATCTTTGATTGTAAAGAACAGATGGTTATATTAGGCTTGCTGTTTTCCAAAATAATGTCGTTAAAAGATTAATTCAATAGCATACAACTTCAATGTCATGAAAAAGAAATAAATTGGTTTACCGAACGTGAGTCTCCTTGCACCACATACTAACACTGAATTCATGTTATTTTATCTTTTTAATGAAATGTCAACTTTTCTAATCGGATTTTCTATCCGAATAAAATTACTAGTATAATCGAGATGTATCATAAACATAAAAGGTTTTTGAAACCAAATTTATATTTACAAATGGGCATAACCATTGGGTTTACGCATGCATTTGATCGAAAAATTATTGCACAAAATGGTTGTCATTTTTTTCAAATATAAGAATGGAACTTTTTTTATCGACGCTTTGATAAGGTAAATAAACAAAAGTTCGAGTTTATTTGGAAATCTTCGAAAAAGACTACATATATAACTCCTCGTTATTTGAAAAAGGTGAATTCATTCACTTTAAAACCTATTGATGCGACTTTCTTGATTGTTTCCTGAAGATTTTTTTGTTTAACACTTTTAATTCCTCTCTTTGATGTTCAAAATGAGACTTGTATCGAGTAACTTTCGCGCATAACGCCCAAATCGCTATTTAATGAGCTGATCCAAATTTCCTTTTGATAAACAAGATTCTTATTTGTTTATTTATATGAACACATAAAGATTTATACAAAGAGGCACTAAATACATATGCGCCACGCAATAACAATGAAAATGTGAAGAGATAGATAATATAAAGCGCATATAAGAAAAAGAACAACAATAATGAACAGAAATTGGTGCATGAAAGTGAGTAATAATAATAATAATCGTAATAATGGGAGGGGCAGTTCAGTTATCAAAGGTACAACCAGAAATTCTTTCAGTTAAAGAGGTTAAGTCTATTATTTTATGGAAAAAATAAAAGATAGTTACAGCAGGATCAACTCTAGATTCTATTCTAAACCATATCTGATAACGTCTAGCCACTGTATTTCACCATCTTTAGGACCCAACCAGGAGGTCGTGAAGGACCAACAGAAGCCAGTCCTGTACAGCTTTCTTTCATACCATGACACACACTGATCACCTCATCGCTGTTCTGGGACGATATTTATAGAACATGTCCGAGCCACCGGAGTCGATGTTTCAAGATAGTGATACCAATTGAATTATTGTCTCTGAGCTCGAACACACGATGCCGGGCCCCTACATTACTAACATGGTGTTGCCACTGGATGCCAGCAATCCTTCGGAGATAACGACGATCAAACGCAGAGAGTCGTGTAACATCCTCAACTCAGGAGGACCAGGTTTCAAAAGCATAGAGCAAAACTGCTCTCACCGATGCGTCGTAGATCCGATCTTTTACAGCCAGAATAAAATCACGAAGACGCCAAAGATCGTCCAGATTGGCATAAGCCGCATGAATCGATCTCATCTCTCATGCTGCCACCAACACTTACATAGCTAAACAGGTACACGAACTTCTCGACTACTTCTACATGCTCACTAGCCAGAGTGAGTTCAGGATCAGGGTCCTGCCAGTCTTGTAAAAGTACTTTGCACTTCGAAGGTGCAAAACACATACCATACCTACGGACACTGATTGCCAACTGATTAAGTGCGGATTCCATGCCTTGGGCATTATCGCACAGTAAGACAATATCGTCCGCATACTCAAGATCAAGAAGTCTTTCTCCAGGCAACAAATCCACATCACCATTACTTACATTCATCAGAGCTGTTTCCAGAATGTCATCGATAGCAAAGTTGAAGAGTGATGGTGAGATTGGGCAACCCTGCCTAACCTCACTACCTGAATGGGACAATGGAGAGAGGTGATTGTATGTCCTCAATCTGTCTGTGTTCGTGTACAAACCTTTCAAGATGTTAATAAACATCACAGTCACACACTTTTTCAAGAAACAATCCCAGAGGCCAGTCCTGTCCAATGAGTCTAAGGCAGAACTAATATCAAGTAACACTAGAACTGTTGGCCTGTAATACTTATAACAGTATTCTAGATAAAATCTGGAAACTGGATGTAATCCCTTCTAATTGGTCTCAATATATAAGGGATCCAAAATCATCCTGTGACAACCATATAGGGATTAGTTTGATCAATATAGCATCTAAAATACTAGCCTCAATAATTATCGGACGCTTAACAAAGACTCGTGAACTAACCGCAAACACGAGAAAATCAGACTGACTTCAGACCTGGTTGTGGCTGCATTGACCACATATTCACCATTCGTCAGGCTCCAGAACACAGACACGCTTATCGGCTTCCAACAATGATAGTTTTTATTGACTTAACAGTAGCATTTGACTCTGTCGACCAAGAGGTACTGTGGCGTTGTCTGTCATTGAAAAGTGTACCATAGGAATACATAAACCTTGTGAAGGTTCTTTACTCGAACACTACCAGTCGAGTCAGAGTTTATGGCAAACCGTCATCTGATTTCGCAACCTCAAGTGGTGTCCGTCAAGGCTGTCCATTTTTGTTCAATTTCATCATATACCTACTGCTGGAAATAAATCTTGTTGACTAAATTTCTGGGGATCGATCTCCTACCAAAAGGTTCGCTTATTGACTTAGAATACGCAGATGACCTAGTCCTGTTTGGTGAAGATGCTGATAAAATGCAGAGTGATTTGGTAGCACTGAGCAACAATGCAGTGTCTCAAACCGACTGATTTTGTAAATGTGGACCAATTGACGTCAATTAACTCAGTAATGAAGGATCACTACGAATCGTGAATGTTCTGAGTTGTAAATAATCATTATTAAGAAGTTCCACCGATAGGCGAAACAGACCTCCTTTATTGATTTTCAGTAATTATTTCAGTAAAAAGTATTTCTGAGTTATACCAAAAGTATTTTAGATAAAAATTATATATATGTAATACATTTTCATTGCCAGGAAATATTTTCAAATACAAAACACTTCGTAATTTGGAAATAATCCAACCACACTTTACTTTCACATTGATAAGAAACATTTCATTCTATTTTAGCATGTTCAATATAATGACATCAATGTGAATACGATGAATCATTAAGCAAATCAAAACAACAATAACTTCCTTATAAATACATTTTTCTTTCTTGTTAAGAGAATGTTAATAATGTGCACTCTAATTAAATTATTCATTCATATGACAGAATTAAGTATAAAATCGGATCAATTACATTTCAATGCCTAATAACAATGAGCTATTCAATTACTTAATTTGTATTGAACAATAACAACAAAAAGTTATCATCTATGAATATTTAAAAAAAAACTTATCACGGTATATTTTCCAAATTCGTCATTCTCATTATATTCTACTATTAATGTATCATTTAATTTTTGGCAATTCGATGTCAGATATGTGATTGATAGAATTCTTGTCACTACATAATGACAACACAATCTCATACATTCTAATGATCAAAGATTGATATATGAATAAATACGTCTATAAGTTGGGTTTTTTTTTCATTACTTTATGGAAGTTAGAAAAA